AGTTTTACGATTGAATTCTAAAGTTATATCAGACGGCAGAGTTTTCATTATGGCTGGAATCAACATATGACTGTATTTATCCGGTGTGACTTCTAATGATTTCAAGCTGCGTATTTGAGTTTCTATATTGTCACAAATTATGCGAAGTTTTAAAGTGTCACTGGATTTGGTTACTGGGGAGTTTTTGCATGTGTGAGTTTATAATTATATCTTTTCTGCCAAACCTGTTTTTAACTATTTCGACAACTTAATTTTGTTCCGAAATTGTAATTGTGTAATTTTGTTCCGAAATGCAAAAACCTTCTATCACATTTGCAGCGTTGTGCATAAGTACGATTTTAAATAATTAAATTTTTCGATCTTTGTTAAAGTTTCATTATCGTGGATTGCTACCTTGAAAGAGTTCCAAAAACTTGTCTACTGGGTGTAATCTCCATAGAATTTAGCGATGGTTAACTTTGGCAGACGCGTACATTTATTGCTTTCGATTTTAGAATTGGTTTCCTTAAGAGAGTTTTTATTATCCGAATTTGTTACTTTATTTAATTCTTTCAATTTTTTATTTGCTCTGAATTGCCATAACTGAATTTTCTCATCGTATTCGATACAAGATAGAATTTCTGTTTCAAACTCTTCCGCCTCTGATTTCAAGTCACGCTCTATCTGAGCATCTAACTCACTCAGAGCTTTCGATTTTGTGATTAATTGATCTAAATTTTCTTCTAATGTACTTGTATCAATTTCTTCTTTATTCAACTCCAATTCGATTCTTTTTAGAATCTTGGACACGGTGGTCCTGATAACTTTGCGTTTCGATTTTAATTTAACAATAGACTCTTCTGCCATTGTTACTCTACAAATTAGAAAATTTAGTCTTACCTTTTGCTGACTTCGCACACTTGCAAGGTGCTAAATCCAATTCTTGACGGCCTAATGCACCAGCTGTTTCAAAATATTCTAAGATCTATAAATCAACATCAATCACTTTAAATGTAACTTTTAATATGTACAATATTTACAGATCATTAATCAAACACGGTGGTTCAGTTGTCAAATAAATCTATATGCTTTCATAATCGAAAATCGAAATCTTTTAAATAGGAACCGAAGTGTTCCTAATCAAATAGTGTGCGAAACATCAGACATCCATCTATCGAGCTGCCGGTGGAGAGTCTATGGAAATTCAGAAGGCACGTCTCGTCGCGTTCACATGCAATGCTAGCGCCATCTATCAATTAATCAAAATAATTTACACAACATATAACAAGTCTTGATGTCTAAAAAGATGCTTACCGACAACTATCCTTTACTAATTTTAAAATTTAACACCATACATTCAAAAAGCATTTACATAGTTAAAAAGAAATATGCGATAAATGGAAATAAAATATTTTTGACATTGTCACATTGCCTCCACACACAGATGCAGAGGTCATCTGCACTGAGGAAAAAACAAGGCACATTACTAAAGATTATCTGCTGCCATTCAGCATGGTTCTATAGGCCATCTAAATTTTGGGATTTGAATCGGCAATATATTAAAAAAAAAAAAAAGAAAGAAAAGAAAAGAAAAAGAAAAAAGAAAAAAAGAAAAAAAAAAAAAAAGAAAAAACTACTGAATATTTTTTTTCCCAGAATTATGAGTTTATTAGAAAGATTGGATATTTTTATTTAAGATGACATCATTAAAGATGACATCTTGAAATGCAACATCATTCAGATGACTGCTGTAGCTGTCTTGACAGTACCCCATCCGATCAACCCAATTTTTTAAAACATTATCGATTGTTTGGGCTCCAATCACATGAATGGCAACTTTGTGTTTCAAGGTATCAATCATCCCTGGGTGGTTAGCATAACACTTATCCTTAAGGGTTACCCACACACACACAAAAATCCAACGGAGTCAAAGTGGTTTTTGGTCCCCGGTATCATTGGGTCATTTTTCTTTGAAAATGAGCAAGGAGCTGCTGTTACCATCAATAGCAAATGTTATCGTGCCATGCTAAACGAATTTTTGTTTCCAAAAATTGAAGAGGATGACATAGGCAACATTTGATTTCAACAGGATAGGGCCACTTGCCACACAGCCAACGTAACCATCGATCTTTTGTGCACTGTTTTTGGAAATCGAATAATCAGCCAAAATACTGATGTCAAATAGCTGCCTCTGAGGTGTGATTTTATCCTGTTGGATTTTTTTCTCGTAGAGAATCCTTAAAGATAAGTGTTACACTAACCACCCAGAGATGACTAATGCCTTGAACCATGAAATATGGAAGTTGCCCTTCACGTGATTGGAGGCCAAACAATTGAAAATGTACTGAAAAATTGGGTCGATCAGATGGGCTACTGTCAAGCCAGCCGTGGCAGTCATTTGAATGATGTGTTTCATTCTTAAATGAAAATGTCCAATCTTTCTAATAAACTCATACTTTTTAAAAAATATTCATTAGTTGTTTTATATATATATGTGTGTGTGTATAGCCAATTCAAATTCCAAAAGTTAGATAACCCACTCTAGATAATGATCTCTTATGGCATCATTACAATCTGTGGTACCATTAAATAATGACCGGAGCAGTTGCTTAATGGTTTGTATGCCTGTAATCCAATGTCATGCATCTGCTAATGGCACCGGCACTCCTAGAAGAGAAAGGAAAGGATTCTGCTCACTGGAGTCAAGGAAAATGGGGAGGTTCGCAAATATCAAAGAACCTTCCCTCATTGCTGTATGTGGTGATCTGCTACAGCTAACAAGTGATGAATGTGTGCCTTCCTGAATCCAATGCCACCAACAACATATGACACTAACAATTGCAGAGCTGATAAGATGTGTAGTATGATCATTTGCTTGATGCAGTCCTATGATGTGATCCTTTTCAGATATGCCTAACTGCCCAAATTGCTACTGAATTCTTCTCAAAGGCACGGAAAAACTTTTTTTTTTTTAAATTTTCTATCGAATATTGGTTAAAATAAAAATAACACACTCCAGGACGACAATTTCGAAATGTGGACTGAAGGGTGACAAACTTGCCTTTGCTGATATCATCTGAACAGATGAGAATGAAATTTGAATCCTTTCCATATCTAACCGTTATTAACTGATATACTTGATATAACTCAAATAGATTGCTTCTTTGTGAGAGCAAACCTTTTTTTCGTTGAGCTTATAATACAGCTGATTTGAAACATCTAGATTCAATAGGACCACACCCGATGCCCCATCCAAAAATTTCTGATAATTGAGTTGTCTCTAAGCCTATTTACTCCAATGCAAGAAAGGGAATTTTTACTTTTTTATTTATTCCATTTTACTTGCAATACAGATTACACAACTAAAAAAATTATATTAATTAAGGAAAATATTGCATTTAATAATCCAAGAAGGGACATGAAATTTTACCTTCAAGAGCAAAAAAGTTGCATCATAGGCCTGAAGGCTTAACATAATACAATGACAGTAACAGACAGCCTTTACATTGCATATTACAGTCAAGTCTTTAATCCGGACATCCATAATCCGGAATGATCTATAATTCGGACCTCAAGGCTACAAACTTTCTGCGCATGCGTAAACGCATAATACCTTCATGCATGCGCATAATACGTTTACGCATGGACATTTAATGTATAACGGATGGTATAAGCTAAGCTAAAATTATCTATTTCAGTTAATGTTGCAGATTGTGTTGTTCCTTAATCTTCTAATTGGATGCGGCATATTATTTTTTGCAGACTGTTAGAGCAATTTTATAAAAGTAAGCTTGAACTTTCGATTATGTCAAAAAGAATTTCCGATTCTGGAGCTGCCGAAGGATCTACAAAACGATAGCATATTTCAATGTCCATCAAACAAAAAGTGTAATTGCTGCAAAAAATGGATAAAGGCATGAACAGAGTAACAGAGAGGTGATTCGTTTCTCTAACCATTCCGAAATCTGTTTATCAATTTCACACTGCTCTGTGGGGATCATTGCGGCATGCAATGAACTGGAAGTTGACCTGTCAGCACTATCCTTATCTTCAGAGCAGATGTTTTTATTTTATTCGGCTTATAATTCCTTACTAAATGTAGTATTTCATCTCGTTGTACTCCGTCTTTGATATGATTTAAATCAAATTCCTTGTCATTATAAATATCATGAATACACATCAAATAGAAATATCATGAATACACATCAAATAGTTTTCTGGTTGCAATTTTCTAATTTCGACAATGTGTAATGTCTGCTTTACGTATGCGTGCGTTGAAAGAAATGTTTAATAAAGTAAACAAATAAATATTAAGCTTTTTTTTTTTGGAAATTTTGATACCCTTTAGATCATAATTGCTCTTTATTTCATAAATTACGGTTTCATATTTTTAATTTTATAATTTCTGCATGACATCTTACCAGATTTAAACTGATGATCTATAATCCGGAAAAACCGATAATCCGGAATTGCCAAAGTCCCGACGAGTCCGGATTAAAGACTTTTGAAGGTATATAATAAAAACCAAACAACTCTGGTACATAACATAATGGTAGCACAAACATCTTTTATTAAGTACAATACTACAAATGTTCATAATGAGATACATTCTAATGACCTCAGAGATCATGTGACTTATGAATAGTTAATGTAGACAAATAATATAGATAACCTCATAGATCATGTGGCTTATGTATAGCTAATATAAACAAACATGGTCATTCTTCTTCTTGTAGAGTATATCTCATTATTAATATACTATAAAATTAAATCCCCTTTGAACTGTGTCAATCAGATATATTATTAAAAAATTCTAAAAAAGGATTTAAAAAATCAGGAAGTGCATTTATTACTTTTAAATCACCAAGTTTGTTAAGGAGTTTCAGACATTACATTTGAAAGAAAAATTAAATATATTAAGCTATGCTCAATTGGAAGTGAATGACTACTTGAGAAGCCATATACAAGATATATGCATTAAACAGATATACTCATTTATCTGATGCAAAATATTCACTTACCCCAGGAGATGTATATTTATTAACTGGGAATGAAAAAAGATGAAAATCCACTTGTGACAGAAAAATATTGAAAGCTGGGCCAATTATGAGACCTAGCTGCCGGGACGCTATAACTATAGAAAGAACTGGAGTTCTTTCTTCCTCTGACGTTGTGCGAGTGATATCGGCTAATACAGCAGCACCCCCACCTGCTCCAGTCCCTAAAAATTAATATAAAATAAAATAATAGATAAACTACTGTATTAATATACTCGCTTCCAAAAGTCAAATTTATAATGCAAATTAGCAATTTACAAATGCATAGATGAAGTTGAGTGGCTAAAAAATTCAATTACTATTCACCATCAAAACATATGCTCATTAATTGGTCACTGAAGACACCGTTCTGAAAGGTCTGAGATTCATTTAAATGCTGTTACATAATACTTGTTAACTTTTACAGGATAATTTTTTATGAGATCTGTGATTCTATGGCAGATAGTAATTGCTGGCACGCTGTCAGGTGCAATGAAACAGAAATCAATCAGTCAAAGATCTTGCTCTTTTCTTTGACATTGATCATTTGATAATTTCTCAAATGTGGAAACAATTTCAAACAAATCCTGTGCCTGATCCACCAAGAGTCGCTACCCTTTCTGAAGATGAGTATATTGCTATAGTAGCCAAGAAAACAATCTCCACTACTGCTACATTTATAGTTGCCGCATGATTTGGTACAACAGTATCTGCTAGCATTTTGTGGTGAAGGCTTCATGAAGGAGTAATAATCAAATATGTATATTCTACTAACCACCCAATCCAGAAAGGCAAGATCAAAGTGGTGTCATCAACATCTCGATTGGACTATCTCATATTGGTGCAATGTCCTGTTCATGAATCAATCAAATGATAAGTGTGTACGGATCTGAAGAGAATGAGGCACACAGAACAGGCCCAGAACATCATCATCAAACATCAGCATTTAGAAGCTACAGAATTATAGTGTGGGCTGGAACTTCAAAGAGATATCACATATCTTTAAAGAAGGTTCTGGCGATAGCTGTGCAATATCAGGATGAAGTCTACTCCCTATTGTGAGACTACACTGCAGCAGTTCGTCCTGACTTCTTCTTTATGGATGATAGCCACCATTAATGATTAGCTGGATGACAACAACATCATTAATGATTATCTGAATGATGATTAATGACAACATTGTTAACAACATGTGGAGTGGCTGTCATACTTTTCAGACCTTAATCCCACTGTAAATTGTCAGAATGTTCTTGGATATGCTGTCTCTGTATGTTCATAGCCTCCAGCCAGTCTCAGATTGTTGTAAACTGCCCCAATGGAGAAATGGCTATTGCTAATCATCTGCAGCAGTTGATTACCTTATTGAATGCATGGGCAATTGTAAAGTTTATGTAAAAGTTACAACAAAAAAAAAAAAATAAATAAATAAATAATCTTTGTACATAAAAAAATATTAAAAAAAATCTTTGCTTTTTCCATCTTTGTACATAATGCTTCTTTTCACTCATGCATAAATATATTTGCTATATTTATGTGTAATTTGGTGTTCACCAAAGCTTTACTTTTCCATTTTTGTTGATTTTACCATTGCATACTTACCTTCTCGAAGCCAACGTATTTTTTCCTGTATGAAATTTGTATTATATTCATATGAAATATTTCTTTAATTGTATGAAGAAATATTTAAAGACTTTCTTTCTAACTGTATATTTGTGCATGCTTCCTAAAGAGCGACATATTCCACTGCAACAAGATCATGTGATTTCATTATGATGATGTAAATTATACATACTTAGAAGTATTAATGTAGAAATCATCGACAACCTATGCTGACTTAGAATACCTAGCGTGGTGACGTCATCCCAGCTTAGCACAGTGCGGAGCAGTCGAGACAGCGCCAGATAGCATCCAGTCATGGAGACGAGCGGAGGCAACAACAGACGGCTTGTAAATCCTCCAAGAGTTGGTAGAAACAGACAGTTTCCTTCGATGTTTAAAGTTCCATGTAGCCAAGCTGATCATATTATCTAAACTAGTTGTGGATGTTGCTAGAATAACATATTCTCTCAAGGCATGAGCCTACGTGCCTGTGGAACTGATAGTGTGTGAGAAATGTTCATCATTACATGAATCCTGTGTGGACTGAGTATAACTATCATGACATCACCTGCAATATTAATTTTTTACTTAACTTACCTTTTATTACTTTTATCTATTTCTTATTAGTAAAATAAAGCATTTAATAATGCAATATCTGTGCTCTCCTCATGTTTTGAAAGTAAATTCTACATTAATAATCTTTACTTCAGACATCACTGTAACGAAATTCTGTTGATTCTATTCATATTAAACTTTTTTCCTATGTACAAATAAATAGGTTTCTTGATTCTCAGTAAAAATCAACTATCCAGTATGACCTTCCATATTTTAGCATTGGATATAAAGAGAAAAAATGTTGACAATCATCACTGGTCTAGGAATGAATAACTACATAAATTTATGATATCACTTAATATGCTTCTTTCAAGTATTCTTGACACGCTTTCTTTTATTACAGAAAAATTCCTATTTCTTGAACTCCCACAAAAGTATTTAATACTTATGTCTAAGTTAACACTTTAACATTTGTAACATTATGAACAAAATTTTTAAAACAAACATAAAATTAACTGAACTTAGTGAAAATACTTTATACCACAAATTCTAAGAAGATAAATCATTTTTTAAAACATGCTTTATATTGAATTGAATCTACAATATTAAAATTTCATAATTACCTGCAATCAATCTTCCAAGAACTAAGATCCATGTATTTATTCCAACAAAATACAGAACACTGCCAATTAATTCTCCTAAAATGGTTACCAATAATATCAACCTTGTGTTTAAGCTTCGGTCACTCCACCAACCAATCAAAGGATTGGCAAAGAATGATGAAAAGCTGTATGCCGATATAACAATACCTAACATGTAGGATTTTCCTTTCAAGTAATCATGAATGTAATTCCATATTGTTGGAAAAATTATAGCTGTAAATAAAATATGAGAAAATGAGATTAACAACAGCAGTGTGATGAAGAAATTTTAAGCAATTTTATGAATACATAAAATAAATAAATACAATCAAATCTCATTAAAAGGTTATCACTAGGTTATGCAATAATATTGGGATGAAAAGCAAAATAAATAAATAAAGCCTTTCACAAAAAGACACTTATAGTTCCAGACTCAACACATATTTTAATGTAATTAGAGTAATTAAAAGTTAAGCAATATCCCCTTTAGAAAAGAGTTGAGTTAAACCAAAAACTATGCAATTAGCTCTTTGAAGAAGCCAGAAATTCATTCTCATATTTCTATGTTTATAATCTAATTATAACTTAGGTTTCAAAACATTTAACACATTAAATAAACTTCTCTTAATTATTTAAAAATTGAACTAATTTTGCACATTATGTGAATTTGTGATATGTTATTATGGCTTGGGCAAATATTAGTGACATAATGTCTTTATTTTTTATAAAATTTAATGCCTTTATGCTATGCCAAATTTGAACTGACATCTCCTATCACAAAATGAATTCTGTCTCATGGAAATAACCACAACTGAAAATTTCATATAATAAAACTGAAAGAAAATCTCACAATTTCATGAACAACCGTGTTGATTAAACTACTGTGCCTGGAAAATTTGCTGAAATGCAAATTTTTTGCTTATTATATGAATTTTTTTGTGCACTGAATCTCACTAATAAGAAATCAATTAAGCCCCCAATGGAAAAAAAAAAAAAAATACTAAAAATATTTCAGACTTTAGTTACAAATTTTACCAAAAACTTTTAAAATTAACTTAATGGGAAATTTAACTCCAGAGGGCAAAATGTAACAGCATCATCATTATTTTTATTTTGAAAGTATATTGTCTATCATGGACAAGAAATTTTTTTAAAAAAATATCAATAACAGAAGCAGATGATCTTATTAGAATATTTATACTAAATATAAAAAGAATATATCTATATATTATTATAAGAATATAAAATGAAAAGATATAGAGTAATATTCACGTTAAGGGATAGAGTAGACTTTAAGGTACCCCTTGTATTATGGCGAAGTTGTTTGATTTATCGCCAAGTTGTTGTTTCATTTATGGTAGCCTGAGTAGTTGAATGTTATGGAAACCCTATTGTGGCGTAATCGGGTGCATGATTTTGGGAAATTTTGAATCATGGGATTATTTGTAAGCATGTTTGTGGAGTGTGTTGGTTTGATTCTTTAGACGGTAGAATGGCCGAATGTAGTAAGATTAAATTGAAGTTTCTGTACGATTTGGAGTGAAAGGGGAAAAAAGCTTTAATTGACTGGTGTGTAAATGAAGGTTTACTGAGTATACATTATAAGTGTCCTTTATGTAGGAAGGATATGCGTCTAGTCGAACGTAAAAACCGTTTAGATGGATTTGAATGAGTTTGTAGGAAGAAAGGCTTAGATGGTCACTATGTGAAGTGTTTGATCAGAAAGAGTACCTGGTTTGAAAAAAGTCATTTGAGTATGATTGATATTTTGATTTTTACGTGGCTCTGAGTGTACGAAGCGAACTCGAAAATCATGGTAAGTGAATATTTGCTTTTGGTAGTGCTTAAATGTATAACATGTTTTTCCTTTTTTTATGTTATTTATTGTTTGGTTTAAAATTTTTTTTTTTTTTAGATTTATTTTTTTGTTTGCCTATTTTGTAGAATTTGGTGCTCCTTTGGCTTTTTAAGTGAAAATATATTGATGTGTACATGGATAAAGTAAAGGGAGTGCGCAATGCAAGTTTGTGCAATTCCGGGACTTTTTTTAAAGTGAAAACAGGTTGATGTGTACATGGATACCGAGTTTGTGCAATTGTTTGTCTTGTTATTTTGGCTTTCTGTAGTGGCCGCTTTGCAAGCCAAAATAACGAGTCAAAGAATTGCACAAAATTAGTATCCATGTACTGCCAAAAATCGCCAAGGGGTACCCTAAACTAACTTTTATCAAGTTAAGTTTGTTATTAAAATATCGGGGGGGGGAGAGACAATTCATTCTTTAAATGGAATGATAAGCAGAAATGATACAATTTTATAAAAGTTCTATCAATTAAATTAGTTTCACATCTTTGGAAAAAACCTTGGCAAATAGTACAGAATAAATTCTTTTATATTTTAATTAATATCTGGTTGTTAAAAACATTTAAAATACAAACATTTAACTTCATATCAACATTATATCAAGTAAAGCTAATCATTTTATAAATATCTAAATTATTCAAAATATCTGAATTCTTAAATTTTATTTCAGGATTCAATACCAGTTTCAAGTATCAGTACAGTAAGCATATAATAAATATTAATGCATAAATATCATCTATGAAATGTTTATTTCAAAAATATTTAAAATTGTAAACAGCTACAGTCAACATCTGATTTACCAGGATTAATTTACTGAACATGGCGTTAAAAAAAAAAAAAAAAAAAAGGAAGAGTTTGTTTATTGTGGAATAATAGAAAAATTACTATCAAAATCATTAAAATAAAACAAGTATCAGATAACAGTTGATATCACACTATTTAGAAGTTATTTTTATTCACATCAACACATAATACTGATCTTTTAATATTCCGAGTTCCAATTTTGTTCTTTAATGTTCGGAGTTCCTTCAGATCTAATGGTGTTTATTTTTTCATTATTTATAATGCACTCATTTTGTTTGAACGCTGATTTAATTTGCATAACTTAAATGAATTTATTCTCAAAATTAACTGCTTGAAAGTTAATTTGAAAATACAAGTAAATTGCTAATAATATTTTCCAAATTATAAAATTACATTACAAAATACTATGTTTCCTTAACTTAACCACCACTTTGAGTTAATCAAGATCATTATCTCTAGTACTGCCCCAATAAATCAAAAATTAACTGTAATAACACCTCATCTAACTTTTTGAACAAATATAGTTTTAATTTCAATTCAGACATTGTGAACATAAGCAGCACTGGCACTGTAATGTCCTACCTTTATCCTAAATAATTAAGGTAATATTAAAATGTTTTGCACATGGTTTTAAAATTTTATACTTTCAAATTGATTAGAATTTCTAATAAAAAATTCAAGGATAATAAATGGGTTTAAATATTTAGACAGGACTAGAATTAATTTTCTTTGTTATACTGAGTTGAAAATTACAATAATTTATTTAAACAACTAAAACTGCAATATTTCACATGTAAACTCACCATAACCAAGTCCTGTGCATAAATTAAACATAAGAATTGTTCCATAAGTAAGTCTTCTCTTCTGTTTGATACTGATGAAGGCATCACTCACATGTACAGTACCTTCAACCGCCATTCATAATGTGTTAAACCTGAATAAAAAGTATACCAGTATTAATAGCTATGTAAATCAGTATAAATATCTATGTAAATTTAGTATAAATATGTATGTATGTATCTATAACCAGTATATTAGTAACTATGTAAATAATCATAAAAAATAAAAGGCACAATGATGCCTCACTTTGTATTAAGATAAAATGCCAAACTGGTCAAAAAGAGAAAAAGATAATCAAGAAACCAGCATTTGGGGGAACATAGGTTTGCAAGACCCAAACCTGCATTTACTCAGAGGGTTATATAAAGACAGAAAACTCTAGTGTATACATGTGGAGAAAAAAAAAACTATCAGACTATTGCACAGTTCTTTATTGCAGAATTATTTGTGAGACAGTATAAACGAGCTACCACATTTGACGCTTTGGTGACTAACACACAAAATGCAACTGCATTTAACAAAATCTTAATTTTTATTATTTTTCTCTATTAAACAACTTTTCAATACCAGGTTTACTTATAATTTTTTTAACTTGTGGAAATATATAATAAATAAATTTAAAATCAGGAGCAAGATAACAATTAAATTTTTAATAGAAGAATGGTAAATTTGTAATTAATACATTGGGTTTTTCTCATAAAATTTCATAAATTAAAATGCAAATATAAAAGCAAGGCTAATATATTCATTGGAAAATTAAAAAAAACTACTCAGTTAACAAAGCACTATTCATAATTGTGTACCAAGGTTCCACATGTGATGATCTGTTCATTTCATCTCATGAATGGATAAATAATAATACCACTCAGAATAAGCAGAAGAATGAATAATATACCTGTAACTTTTCCTCTAATATTTTTAAGGTTTGGAAGTAAGAGAGATAAGCCCTCCCCTTTAAAAAAAAGAATTCATTTATATTATACAATCTACCAGTTGTTAAAGAGCAAATATTCATGTTTATATTGGCACAAAACAAATGTATCATCCACACTGAAAGACTATGCTTGGAAAACCATAATAATGATACCGTATTTTACTACAACCAAAGCAATGAAATGATACTACAATAAAAGATTTTGCCAAAAGAAAAGTAGCTTTGCTCAGCAACTACTGCTTCATAGGGTTTGCATATTCCTTTCTCACATTCACATATTCATTATTCCGTTTACTAATTTTTAGTGTCAAGAGCTTATATTCACAAACTTGAATCAACTGCAACAGAATAAATCACTATGCAACTTAATGTTGACTGAAATAATTACTTGTGTGAACATTTTTTTAGAATTTGTTTTCATTTTTAATACCTAATTTGGATTTACTGAAATAGTCATTCTCTTCATGTCATTATAGTTACCATTACTGCCTCCAGTTTTACTTTGTACCAAAATTTACATCTGATATCAAGTGATACCCCATTAATTGAAAAGTACCAAAATAAACTGCATTTTGTATCATTAGTAGAATTTATTTATATTATTATAAAAATGCCAATATAATCATTAGGAAGAGGAAGTTTTAAACTTATTAAAAAATACTTACAATTTTAACAGAAAAAAATTTACTGATACTTTTCTGATAACGAAGTGCCACTTAACACCTAATATAAATGTTGGTGCAAAATGTAATTAAATAAAAATAATTCTAATGATTAATAAAGCTTCATGAAAAAAAATAACTTATACTAACATATAGCATATCATATAACATAATTCATACATTATTTAATCTATACAATGCCAAATTTTTGCATGATACTAAATAATTCTCAGATGTTTTTTAACATCCCAAAGGTTAAGGACATAAAATTATGCTTAAAAACATGGTTTTCCAATTCATTAACATATGAAAATTTCTGCCAAGTCTTAATGTATCCAACTTTGAATTGGATGAATATTGAAAGAAAGAGTCAAAGTACAAAGTGAAAGAATTATTTTGGAACTATAATCAAGAAACCAGCATTTGGGGGAACATAAGTTTGCAAGACCCAAACCTGCATTTACTCAGAGGGTTATATAAAGACAGAAAACTCTAGTGTATACATGTGGAGAAAAAAAAACTATCAGACTATTGCACAAATTTTGCATTGCACAGTTCTTTATTGCAGAATTATCCGTGACACAGTATAAACGAGCTACCACATTTGACGCTTTCGTGACTAACACACAAAATGCAACTGCATTTAACAAAATCTTAATTTTTATTATTTTTCTCTATTAAACAACTTTTTAATACCAGGTTTACTTATAATTTTCAACTTAAATGTTGACCTAGATTAAGTTATAATATTACCAGCCAAATCAAAAGCTCACTCACATGATGCTGATGTTAAAAGTGCACAAAGTTCTCTTTTCATAACTTCAGAAATTCTGGTATCTAAACACCATTCTGTATTAATAATAAGAAATTTAAAACTAGGTAAAAACCCACACGGCAAAAGCCTACAGGCATGAATGCCCACAAGGAAAAAAGCCCATAGTGATAAAAGCTCACAGATAAAAGCCCACTCTTATATACATATTATGAAAAAGAAAAAAATTTCCTTTTTATTTTCAATTTATATAAAGTAAATTTACAATTCAAAATTTTGTTAGATTTTGAATATTTCAAGATAGAAATAAATCATTAGAATTACAAATTTTATTTGAATTTCTATAAGCTTTATACAGGTATATTTCGCAGCAGTGCGTGTAACATTAATAGCTATTAACATCTCTCTCAATACATGTGTAAATTAAACTTTTATTATATTTATACTGTCTGATTAGAGTCTGTATTAAGTCTCACAAAAGAAGAGGGATGTTAATCTTCCAGCTTTCATGGGGATGTACAAAATTAAGCATACAAAAGCTTATAAATACAAAAGCATATAAATTGCATGCATACATGCATCATGTTCAGAGAACAATTATTACAACATTATTAAATTTACTACTTCCTGATTATCTGCATACCCCTGGAAAGTATTCATGAGGCAATGTACTGTGTCACCAAAATAGGCAACCATGACCTCAACAAAGTACATATATGTATCAAGCCAGGTATGCATGCACATAGCAGAGGACGAGGGTCAGTCATTAGTGTTTGTTTTTATTTCATTAATGACAATCATTAGTGTTTGTTTTTGTTGCACTGGGTGCATTTTTTTTTTTCCTTGTAAGGACTTGCAATGGATTGCGGAATTTGCCAGCTGATAAAAAGAGAGCATTACTTTAGAAATATGTCATTTTGCCTATAGTACAGAATGCAAAAATTTTGATTCTATGAAGTTATATTCATAAATTAACAAATTTATGGATCAAAATTTGTGTGCCAAGGATAAATTTGTGCAGTTCTCTGATGTCTTTTTATGAGAAAACAGATTATTGTGCAGATGGGAAGAACAATAATATGTGTAGTGACAAGTTCCTGCAATTCTCTGATGTTTTCTACACTAAAGCAGATTGCTCTGCGCATGGGAAGAACAGTGCAAAAAAGGTAAGAGCTTTATCCCAGATTTTCTTTTTAAAATTTATTAATTGCTTGGCTGTGTTATAGAATTCTTAGTACGGCAACATTTTTATGGTTGTTATCTTTTGCATCATATCTTGGCAAAAAATTAGTTGCCAGTGGTTTCACAACTTTTTGGAAGAGGGATGCAGGTAATTAGAAAGTACCTTAAATCCTTTTTAATAGCCATAGAAAATTTTTTTGCACATTCAATTTAATATGCATAAAGAAAGAAAAATTAAAAGTGAATTTTTATATGAGCAAAAAAAAAAAAAAAAAAAAAGTATTTTAAAACAATGAAAATATTTGTTTATGCATTCAGAAATACTGTTATATCAGGGAATTAAAAGCAAGGTTTCAAGTAATTTAATTACATTTTTATTCACAAAATTTTAACATCCCTGCAACCTTTAAAATTATTATTTCTATTTATTAAATAACTTTAATTTAATGCTATATATAATATATGATCATGTGTATGTGTGTAGACACAGCGACCAATGTGAGAACCTTGCACTCACATGACACATGATCAAACACTTGCAAGTGATTATGAGCCCACTTCTTTGGCATACCTTCAAGTATCACTATGCATACCTTACGCATACCCCACTTTGGAAACTACTGCTGTAAGCGACCATTCAATCCGATACAACCAGAGAATGGCTCAAAGAACTCTTATTTAATTGCTTTATTGACTTTGAAAACTATAGAAAGAAAATGGATGTCTACTGCACAGTCTGCAAGTTGAGTACAGCAAAAATAATGAGCGCTAATTCTAAGATAGGAGCATCAGTTGGAAAGAAAAATCATTATGTGTTCGTGAAAAATAAACTGGTCTTTAAAAAGATTTCAGAAATATTAGTATTAAATAATAATAATAATTACATCACCTAAATTTTAACCTGTAACTATAGTTAAAAAATCCATTTCTTGCTTTAATACATTTGTCAAATTATCTAAAAAACTAGTTAAAATTTCAAACATTTTATAATTTTTTAATAACTGAAAAATGAAGAAAATAAAAATATTACTAAAGATGATTTGGAAATATTTGTTAACTAACTTAAAGAAGAAAATCACAATTTCAGCAATAGATTTGCAAACCAACAAAATGTACAATATAAGAGAAAAGAAAAACCTCTCTTTAATGAAAAATATTGTTGCGTGCGTACGGGTTCGTTATGAAATGAATGAACAAGTCCGATGAAAAATGAACAAAAATTTATTATTATCACAACAAAATGCTTAAATTTTCTCAAATTATCATGCAGTATTACAATATCTCACAGTAGTTATCTTTTAACTACTCAAATGTCCAATAGAACGTAATTCAAAACAGCTAAAGAACGCTAATCCGCGAATTCGCTACAATCAACAACAGTAGTTTTCTAAACAACAACAAACTAAGCAACTACTAACTACAAACTGAGATGTTTTCCTCCTTTTATAAGATTTTAAAATCACGCGCTAGAATTTTCCAGTACTTTCTCGAAATCAAAAAAGAGATATTTATTTATTTAATGCACGCGCTCTTGTATTTTCAAT